GTGGACCACATTTAATTGGTCTCTGAAAAACTCCGAAAAAAAAACACAAAAAGCCCCCTGTGGCCCGGCTGTGCTCAGAATCTCCCCCAGCGCTTTCCAGGGCAGCTGGTGACAAGTGTGGGTGCCTGAGTTTTGCCGGTTAACCAGGGCCCTCGGCGGCCGAACCACGGTCACGCCACCACAAACCCTCACATCTGAGCAGCTGCAGGTCGACAGGCCAGCTCTGACCGCCCCGCAGGCCGCCCCGGTGCTGAGCGTGGGCCCCCCCGCCTTCTGGCAGCTGGGAGCCCGCCCAGGGCCGCCCTTGCCGCTAAAGGAGGCGCAGGTGCGGGAGGGCGTGCGCCGGGCGTGGACTGGGCTGGAAGCAGAAATCAGGGGCGGGGCACGGGCCTCCTGGGTTGAGTGTCTTGACCCCCTCCTGACACACATACTAGCCTCCACACCCCACACCCTGGACGGGAATAAGATCATTGGCCACATCCTGGGCTGACTGCTTATGAAATGTTAGCTGTTCCAATGGTTGCTAGTAAACCCTCATGGTCGGTACCAGAAAGTGAGCATTTGAAGTGGGCCTGGGGGGGTCCTTCTGGCACCCATGCCTCACTCAGCCTGAACCCCTTGGGTGCTGGGGGCACGGTCTACTTCCAGCCTCCCGCAGGAATGGCTCCCCCTTTGAGGCTGCTGGAAACCAGCTTGGACGCAAACGGGGTTCCCACAAGAGGGATGAACTTTTCAGGGGTTGCATCCCGGTGGCATTTAACAAATACCACTGGGTGAGGAAGCTGTCCATCACCCCACCGGACCAAGCTTGCTCACGGACACCAGTGAGAGCCGGCCGGCCTGTCGGAGGAAAGGGACAGGACTGGTATTTGGGAGAGGTCTGTAGCTGGGGACTTAGCGGCCGCGCCCACCGTGGGTGGGTGGCGGAGTCTCCCGCGCGGCCTCTCCCAGTGCCCCGCCTCTGCTCTGGGCCACCGCGTGTCCCCGTCGTGCTACCGCTGCCTGTGAAGCAGGCCTCAGAGCTTTCCAGCCTGGGGGTTTTGTTTTTGATTTTGTTTTCCTGCCCGAAGAATGCTCTCTGGACTCCTCCCAAAAGCTCTCAGGACCACAGCGGGAACCGAAGCGAAAATAGCCCACCGGTGGGAAGTCTGTAAGGACCTATTCCACCTCTTGAGGGAGCACGGGCTTCCCGGATGCGCCTGCCCTCACATCCCCGTCCCCCTGCCCCCACCCCACCCCCCAGTTGGGAAGAGAGGGCCAGGGGCCGTCAGGGGGGAGGACAGGCCTGGGCTTCGGGGGACAGTCCCCTCCTGAGCCCTACCCGTGGGCTGTGTGTTCTCCGGAGCTGAGCCTGGCTCCGGCGCGTGGGGTGCAGGGCCGAGCAGGATGACAATACCGTACATGTGCGTGGGGCCTGGTACTTTTCCAAGGGCTTTTAAATGCATTATCTTGTTGGAGGCTCATTTGAGACAAGGACTCAGAAGCAGCCTGGAAAACAACTGATTTACTGAATCCCGAGTGGAGAGGAAGCCGAATGCAATGTGTGTGCGTGTGTGTGTGTGTGTGCGCGCGCGCGTGTGTGTGTGTTTGCTGAATCTCAAACCAAAACAACCTTTTGTTAAAGAACAAACAAATAAACAAAAATGCTGAACACCAATTCACCAGGGAACACAGTCTGAACAGAGGTTCTGGGCAGAGAATCACGAAGCAAATCTGAATTCAACAAACACGTACTGGGGGAGGGGTTGCTGGGGCCACAGATGTGCTCGGGAGGGGCCCGCCCGAGAGCTTTTAGGGGGCAGCGTGCACTGGGGACCAGGTTGACCTGGCTAGGCAGACTGCAAACACGGGGCCCTCGGGAGGGGCGGAGAGAGGAGGCCGGGGAGGGAGCCCCTACACGGGGCAAGAAGAAGGGGTGCATTTGGGGCATCGGGCCATGCTGAGCCTGGGGGGGGGACGCTGCATTGCCTATGGGGGCACACTGGAGGTTTCCTGGGGGGACTGCCGGCCCCATTCGGAGCAGCGCTGGAGTAATTCATCTGGGGCAGTGAGGGGGGGGTGGGGGTTTCTGAAATGACTGAATGGTCAGCATTCCCTGAATGGAAATGATTTCATCCAGTTTGGATTGCTTCTTTGAAATAAGTCCATTCCCCTGATTTTGGGGGGGCACAGAAATGGGAAGTGACAGCTGGAAATGCGTGTGGGAGTTCGGGGGTCGGACAGGTTCTTACGACCCAGGCCGGACGGGAGGTGCGGTTGCTTGATCGGCTCCCCCTCACCTGCGCCAAGCGGGGACTGGGGGCTGTGAGGACCTTGGCCACCCAGGGCCCTCACAGCCCCAGGGCCACATTCTGTGTGTTCACAAAGCCACGCTGAAGGCCTGCGCTTTCTCCCTGCTCAAGACTGACCTCGGGAGCCCACTGTGCAGGGAGCGGGGCGTGAAATCCCCACTCTCACCTGGGCTCCCTGGCGGGGTCCTGTCGGCCTCTCCCGGCCCCGAGCCCTGGGCCCGGCAGAACTTTCAGGGCCTGCTCGCCCTGCTCCCCAGAACTGCCCTGGGAGCGGGAGCTCGAGGCCTGTGTGCCGGAGGCCCTGGGGGGACACAGGCACTCACCACCAGGTCGGGGGCTGTGTCCTCTGATGGGGAGCAGAGTGGGGGCTCCCCGTCCTCCCACCTGCTTGCCAAGCCCCGGGGAAGCTGGCTGGCTCTCAGCTAGAAGCTGGGCAGTCTTTCCAGCTCCGCTACCCTTTTCCCAAAAGAGACATTTCCAGGGTCTCGTCCTTCATTCCTGCCCACAGGGCGACATGGGCTCTGCTCCAGGCAGGTGTGTGTCACCATGTCCCGCACCCCTGGGCAGGTGCTGGGGACCCCCGGGCCCACCCGCAGGAGGTTTCGTGGGCTGCGAGGGCCAGTGTTTGCCCCTCTGTCCCCCCCAGCAGAGTGGGCCTGCTCCTGGGACGAGGCTCCAGGATTGTCAGGCTCTGTGTGCAGGCAGGGGCGGATGCAGGTGAATTCATCCGCGAGCACCTCCTCGGCATGCAGGTCCGACCAGCTGCCCGGTGTGGACTCTGCTGGGGCTTCGCACCCACACCTTCGGGCCCACGAGCTTGGCGAGCTGCAAGCTACAATGGCCCATCTTCGACAGGCTCGTCTTTGGGCTGCTCGCTGGAAACCATGATCGAGTGGACCCACCGGTGCCCACCTGCCCCCCACCACTGGCTGCCCCCTGACCCTGTTGCTGGGGCTCTGGTGCGGCCTGGGGAAGCAGCCGCCCCGTCCTAAAGCCCTTTGGCCCTTGGGAAAGCAAGGCCTTTGGCACCCCACCCCCACAGTCCCCCGACACCAGGCACGCAGGCCAGGTCCTGAGCCTGCAGCTGGTCCCCAGCTGGGTCCCTGGCCCTGAGGCTGCCTTTGTGCCTGCACAAGGGAGACTCAGTTCGTCCCCCGCTCCTTGACCCTGCATCCTGCAGCCCCCTGGTGGGGGGGAGCGGACAGTGCCCGGAGAGGGAGCTAGACCACCTCAATGACCTCTGCCTCCTCCAGGGCATCTCGGGGAAGCTGGAGAGGGCTGCCTATTGCAAGGCCATTAAGCAGGCTAATGAACCGTGAAGGCTCCTGGCCCCTCTGGCCCCCCACGGTGCCTCCCCTCAGCTCACAGAGCCCACTGCCCACCTACCACCTTGTGACTGCTATTATTGTCACTTAGCGTGTCGGGCCATGGTTTTCCCAGACAGAGCTGGGGCCTCAGAGCTGCTCCTTGCCTTTTCCGGGCCCAGCTAGCACCGCGCACAGCACGTACTTAATAAATATTTGCTTGGGATCGGGCCCAGAAAGTCACCTTGATTTCCAGAGCTGGGGAAGGGACTTGGGAGTCTGGGGACCCTCGAGCAGGGCTGAGGCGGCCAGTGGGGCTGGGCATAGCCTGGTGACCTGCGTCCTGCAGCCGTGTTCTCCCCCTCTGTCCCCAGCAGAGGAAGTGTGGGTGGCTTCCTCCACGCCAGCTGGTGCCCGCGTCCCCGACAGCTTCCTCTGGGGCCAGGCAGCCCACTGGGATGGAGCCTAAGACGGGACAAAGGCCCTGCCTGCTCTCTCACCCCAACGGCAGCGGGAGGCTGGCTCCTAGGCGCCCTGCCTCACCTGCCACACCTGGGCCCGGGGAGGGGGCATCTGCTGAATCCGTGTCCTTCAGCACTGAGGCCGTGCCCCGGGGGCCTTTTGTGCTGAGGAGACACACCTGACTCCATAGGACACTCGCCTCGTGATGTGCTCAGGGGGGAGGCTGACCTTCCCTGCACACAGCAGGAGTGTGGGGGGCCCCCGGGAGCCTCCGGTTGGAGTCTGCACTGTGACACCTCAGAAAACCAAGCCAGCCTGGGCCGGACAGCCACGGCCCAGAGTCCCCGGGCCCCACTCCCAACCCTTCCCAGGCCCCAGCGCGCTCAGCGGCAGCAAAAGCAAGGCTGCCAAGCTGCCTCTCAATGCAGGGTGCTGGTTTTCAAGAAGGTGGGAGTGCCTGGAGCCTCGGAGCCACGGGCAGGCCTCAGGGTGGGTTTCTCAACCAGGGTGGGAGACAAAGAGACGGAGGCAAAGGTGTACCGTGATACAGCCATATTTACTTCAACCTCCAGGGAATCCTAAGGGCCCAGAGACTCCCCTTGGGCCATAAGATTGGGTCCCTGAAACAAGTCACATCCACCCTTTCACGGGGGGGCTTCCACTGCCCTGGCTGCAGCAGGGGCCTGGGCTCTCTATCATGTGGGTGCCATGTGTGGGGCCTGGGGCCAAAGATAAGGCCATGGGCACCCACTGTGGGCACTGAGCAGGGGCAGGAGGCTCAAAGGCCATCTGGCCAAGGCGTCAGGGCCACCCATGCGTCCTGGAGCCTCGAGGTCGTGTGGAGGCCCCAGGAGGGAGCAGAGTCTTCAGAAGCTGGCAGGGAGGCTGGAAGGTCACTCGAACATCAGCGAGCCCCAGGGCTTCCCCCCCCCCCCCCCCCCCCCCCCCCCCCCCCCCCGCGCCATCCTCCAGACCCTAAGCTGTCTTCTAAGACAGAAGAAGGAGCTGTTTCTATCACCATGACAACTAAAAATAAAAACAAACCAAAGGCTATCTTAAGGTATAATCTTCAGATTGCTTAAAATTAATCAGTGCAAAGTGAGGTAAAGAGCCTTGTGTCGCCGGGGGCCGGGGAGTGGCAGGCCTCACACAAGCCTGCGCCTCTTAGAGTCCCTCTCTACATCCCCCTCCTGGGCATCCACGTCGCAGCCAAGTGGGGACACCAGGTTCAGCAGAGGGTCCTCGGAGGCCCGGCCGAAGAGTGCCAGCAGGAGGGCCACGCCGAAGCCCGTGGCGCGCTCACCCTGTGGGCGAAGAGCAGGCTGGGAACCCTCTGCCAGGCAGAGCCAGACCCCCTCAGCAAGCCCATCTCTGCGGGAAGGGGCTCCTGGTCCACCCCCCACTTGCCCTATGGCCCCCCTTCCTGCTATCCTGCCACACTCAGGACTGGGGGGGGCAGGGTGGTGGGATGGTTCTGTGCACTCTTGTCCCAAGCCCCAGGTCTTCGTGGGTGGGGGGAAATGGAGAGCTGAGGGCCCTGGGCCCCCAGCAGAGGACAGGCTGGCTGGAGAAGGGCCGCACACAGCAGGCACTTTGTGTCCGGGGCCGGGAAGACCAGAGATTGGGGGCACAACTGGCCGGAGGTCAGGCCACAGGCAGTGCAACCCCCGACACCTAATGCTTCGGATGAGCTCAGCCTGGAGCCAGAGAGGGGCTGTGGATGCATGCGAGGCGGGAGCAGCCCGGCCAGTGTGCAGGGTGTGCAGGGGGGTCAGGGGCAGGCGGGGAGAGGAGAGCACCATGGGGGAGCCTGGACTCACGGCGTGCACCGGGGCGGCGATGTCCAGATGGACCCAGACCCCAGGCCAGTCAAAGCCGATGTGTGAGGCGATGAAAAGGCCGGCACAGGAGCTGGGGCTGTTGTCCCGGTCCTGGGGGGACAGCAGGACACATGGTGACCTTTCCGTTCCCGGCAGTGGGGGTGTGGGGGAGGGCCTCCACCAAAGTGCATTTGGGGCTGCTTCCCCCTGGACCCGAGTGGGCGCCCCCATGCCCTCTCGACCACACCACCCTCAGCCACCACCTCCCCTGGTGGCTACAAGAAGGGGTCCGACAGTGTTGGAAGACTGCGGAGAGGGACCCCGAGGACCTTGCACGTGGGTTAAGGGGTCTGCCTTCTCCCTGGGGCGACGGTGGGGCTGGAGAAGGAGCAGACGCCGGAGCAGTGGGGGGAACCCCCAGCGCCCGACCTGGTGGATGCGCTGGCAGGGAGACCAGCGAGAGACACGTCCCCGCTCTGGACGCTTCCACCCTGAGCGTGGATCTGGGGCCCCACTGCGGGGGGGGACCCTCGTCCACACTGCTGCCATGTCTTGGGGCCCCCCGGGCTCCCCGAGGGCAGGGCTCCGCCTGCCCCGCTCCACCCTGCGCAGGCGCCACTGCACACCTACCGCCACGGAGTTCTTCATGTCGGCCACGGCCGAGGTGAACTCGCTGAAGTGCAGCTCGGGGCAGTAGACCAGGGGGTGCACCAGGTCCCCACACCTCCTCCCGGCCTTCACGCAGGCCGCCTCCCACTCCGCACTGTTGGTGAGCACGGCGGCGTGGTACTTGCCCGTGGCAATGCCCTGGGAGGGTGGCCAGCCAGAGGGAGGGGCGGAGCCGCAGGCGGAAGATGGAGAAGCCGGGAGGGGCAGGGAGGAGCAGCGAAGGAGGGAAGAAACGAGAGCGTAAGCGGGCCACCAGGGAGAACGCTTCCGAAGCTGCCGGGCGCTGGGACCCAGCCCACGGGTTCTGCCACCTGCACCGCGCTGGACGCCAGGGACGAGCTCCCTGCTACTCGGCCAGGCCGTGACGATTAGAGGACTGCACCAGCACCGCCCCCCCCGCCCCCCCAGAGTCAAGGTGGCCCACCTGAGCTCCGGTCAGTGTGGCCACGTCCAGGATGATGTCCGCACCCAGGTCCTTGCAGGCGTAGGACACACCATCCGCCAGCACCAGCCTGCCCTCCGCGTCAGTGTTGTTGATTTCCACAGTCCTGGGGCGCAGCAGAGACCCCGGCTCAGGGATCGTGCTCCCTGGGGCACTGCGAGCAAGTCCCTTGGAACTGGGGAGACTCCATTTAGAGCCCTCTTCCCTCTAGCTACCGTCTCGGGGGGCCCCTCCCGTCCCCTGCAGCAGTGCAGTGCCAGGGGCCAGAGCAAAGGGCAGTAGGTCAATCCCACCCCACTGCCCTCCTGCTGGGAGCCAGGGAAAGCCACCCAGCCCCCTGTGCCTCGGTTTCTTCATCTGTAAGATGGGAGAACAGGGTTGTGTGGGCAGCGTAAATTGCGCTGGGCCAGCCCTTGGCCCACAACGCCAGGCACTGGGTAAATGCAAAAAGGGAAGCGCCTCTGGGGGTCTCCCTGGGGACAGGCACCCTTGTATGGGGAGCTGAGTGGACTCTCCTATTGTGAATCTGGGCCACCTGCTCCTCCAGCTGCTGCCTACTGACTTCTAGGCATGTCCTTATGCTGAGAAGAAACAGTCCAAGGGCTGACCTCAAGGGAGAAATGCGGGGAGAGCCCCCAAGGAGGGAATTGGTGGGGGCGGTGGACAGGGCTTCAGATGCACAAAGAACTTTAAGTCTAAAGGCTGAGAAGGGCTCATCCCATTAAGGCAGGGTGGATCCTATGCCCCGCACCTTGAGGGAGCCCAACAGTTTGTCCAGTGATGCGGCCGACACCCCCTGGGCCCCTGGGAGCAAGCAGCCCACTGCCCAGGGGCCCCTGTGACAGGGCATCCTCCCCACAGGATGTGTCTCTGGCTGGAGTGAGCCGGGTGAAATCAGCCCCCCAGCTCACCAGCCTAGCCCTAGGAAGGGGAGGGGCCCCCTATGAGTTCTAGCCCAGAAGGCAGCCAATGAGTGAGGGGAGCCAGCCTTACTTTCCTGAGTACAGCAGGTGGATATCGTCTGGCCTCGTAGCATTGGGACCCACAGAGTTTTCAGCCAAGCAGAACACAGCATGGAGGTTGTCTTTGAAACCCTGGAGGGAACATGGGCAGAGGCTCCTGTTACAGGTGGCCATGCATGGAGGAGGGAGGACAGGCCAGAGTCTCCCACCCCCGTGGACAGACAGAGCCCTAGGGAGCAGAGAGCGGACTCCCCAGCAGTTCTGGCAGCACCCCATCTGGGGAGTCTTGCCTCCTCCGTCAGAGCCCAACAATGCAGAAACGAGCCCAGGAGTGGGGCTGGGCTCCCGGCTTTAATCCTGGCTCCACCACTTACCCGGGGCACGACCCGGGCTGCTAGTTCAGCCCCTGCCTCCTGTCCACAAAACGTGGTCAGCAATCAATGTCTCCCACTGCACAAACCCTCTGAGCTCGGCACAGCTGCACAAAAGCAAGTCACACACATACAGGTGCACGGGGGCTGGGGAGAACTTGCCTCACAGAAACTTAGGTGTGAAGTTAGTTTTCTGATGCCCAAACATGACGTTGGTACATTGAGAAATGTGCACAAAACAGGCTGAGGAGGTTTCCGCCCCACACGGGTCCCCCACCTGCCCAAGAAAACCCCAAGGCGGCCTTGCCCAGGTGGCAGTGGGAGTGGCGGTCCCACACCCCGTCCCTGTGCGTCCTCTCCTCCCAGACCCAAGCCCTTAATCAGGACGCGTCCCCTCTGGGCACGGGGCACGCCAGGCCCCCTCCTGCCACCTCCAGGCTCTCACACACAGCTGTCAGGTGCAGCCTCATCTCTGCAACAGGTGATTCTTCCACCACAGGTGCAGAGCTCCCAGTGAAGGTAAACACGGGCCTGCAGCACGGGCTGGGCCGTGGCACCGGGCTGGGACGGCTTTGAGCCTGAGCCCGACAGCCCGCACCCGGGAAAGCCCCCCCTCGCTTCCCGGGGAACATGACACCAGGCAGCCCGTCAGCTCGAAGACCCCTCCAAGAGTGGCTGGGATTAAATGAATTGTGATAACATGTGGCCTTGAAACAACAGGGTGGCCCCAGGGGCTCTGAAGCTAGAGAGGCAGGTGGACCTCGCCAGGGAAGGTGGGGAGCCCCGAAGTCTTCCCAGAGAGAGCCATGTCGGGTCTGGGCCCAGAGGCGAGAAGAGTTTCTGGAGTATGCACAAGCATTATGTTGTGGCAGGACAGCGGGGCGGTGAGGAGAGACCACGGTCCCCAGCCTGACCCTGTGAGATGCCCCCCCGATTTTGGATTCAGAAGGTCTGGGGTGCTGCTGATTCTTGTGTGGGGTCCCCCTTGGGAAGGCTGGCTTAGAGGGTGCTGCGAGCCTTGGGCAGGTGGTTCTGAGCTCATGTGGCAGGTATTGGGGTGCAGGGGTGAGACACACAGATCTTGGGATCCCCAGGGGGACTGCAAAGCAGCTGCAGCGGCCGAGGTTTTAGGTATGTGAGACTTGGAGGGTCACGGCCGCCCCAGCACCAGGCGCTACCTGCTCCCAGCAAGCGCAACATCGCATCGCACATCTTCTCCTTTTAAAAACTGTTAGAACGTCTAATTTTGAAATAATTTCAAACTTAAAGAAAATTCGGCAAAAATGGTACAAACAATCCCTGGATACCCCTGACTGTGACCCCTGACCCCCTCCAGTGGCAACGCCTGGCACGCCCCATGCGCTGGTCTGCACCAGGGAGTCATCACTGACTTGGGGATCGGATCTAATCCGGGCACACAGACTTGGCCGGCACCTCAGTCTCCTCAGTCTGGGACTTCTGAGATCCGCCCTCCGTCTTTGGTGACCTCATGACTCGCTGTCTCCTGGGGCTTGCGCTCCCCACCTGCGCTCGGCCGGACGCCCAGAGACCCGCCATGTTCTTCCTGGGACTGTGTCTCAGAGGTGTGATGCACGGGGACACAGTGACCCCGCCGGGCAGAGTTCCTCTAAGTCACTCCCGGCCACGCCAGCCATCCTGCTCCGACGACATTTCTGCACTTGGGTTCCAGCAGCTCTTGCTCGCTTCTACAGTGCTGTCTGCCCCACAGTGATGTGCTGTGTCCATCCCTCCTCTGCAGTGGGCATGGGGAGAAACAGTGCTCCTCTCCTCTACTTATTTATTCATTCAACGCTTGGTTCCTGATGTGCAGATTCTTAGTTTACTCTGTGGGTTCTAAGCCATCACCACCATTATTTATTGTGTGGCTCACATCAAGGCCTACAAAAATTGCAGTTACACTCTAGAGAAAGGACCCAGATAAATAAAATCATGAATGAACGAGGAGAGATCACAACCAACACCGAAGACATACAATTATAACAACACATTATGGGCAACTATGTGCCAACAAATTAGATGATCTGGAAGAAATGGATGCATTCCTAGAGACATATAAACTACCAAAACTGAACCAGGAAGAAATAGAAAACCTGAACAGGCCCATAACCAGCAAGGAAATTGAAGCAGTCATCAAAAATCTCCCAACAAAGAGCCCAGGGCCAGATGGCTTCCCAGGGGAATTCTACCAAACATTTAAAGAAGAATTAATACCTATTCTTTGGAAGCGGTTTCAAAGAATAGAAATGGAAGGAAAACTTCCAAACTCTTTCTATGAGGCCAGCATTACCTCGATCCCAAAATGAGACAAAAACCCCACCAAAAAGGAGAATTACAGACCAATATCCCTGATGAACATGGATGCCAAAATTCCCACCAAATACTTGCCAGTAGGATCCAACAGCACATTAAAAGGATCATTCACCACGACCAAGTGGGATTTATCCCTGGGCTGCAAGGTTGGTTCAACATCCGCAAATCAATCAATGTGATACACCACATTAATAAAAGAAAGAACAAGAACCATATGATCCTCTCAGTAGATGCAGAAAAAGCATTTGACAAAGTACAACCTCCCTTCTTAATCAAAACTCTTCACAGTATACAGATAGAGGGAATATGCCTCAAAAGCCATATATGAAAAGCCCATAGCAAATATCATTCTCAATGGGGGAAAAACTGAGAGCTTTCCCCCTAAGGTCAGGAACGCGGCAGGGATGTCCACTATCACCACTGCTGTTCAACATAGTATTAGAAGTCCTAGCCACAGCAATCAGACAACAAAAAGCAATCAAAGGCATCCAAACTGGCAAAGAAGAAGTCAAACTCTCACTCTTGGCAGATTACATAATACTCCATGTGGAAAACCCAAAAGACTCCATCCTAAAATTGCTAGAAGTCATACAGGAATTCAGCAAAGTGGCAGGAGATAAAATCAATGCACAGAAATCAGTTGCATTTCTATACACTAACAATGAGACAGAAAAAAGAGAAATTAAGGAGTCGATCCCATTTACAATTGCACCCCAAACCATAAGATACCTAGGAATAAACCTAACCAAAGAGGTGAAGGATCTAACTCTGAAAACTATTGAACACTCATGAAAGAAATTGAGGAAGACACAAAGAAATGGAAAAACATTCCATGCTCATGGATTGGAAGAACAAATATTGTTAAAATACCTATGCTACCCACAGCAGTCTACACATCAATACAATCCCTAACAAAATACCATCAACTTTTTTCACAGAGCTGGAACAAATAATCCTGAAATTTGCATGGAACCAGAAAAGACCCCGAATAGCCAGAGGAATGTTGAAAAAAAAGCAAAGCTGGCAGCATCACAATTCCAGACTTTAAGCTCTATTACAAAGCTGTAGTCATCAAGACAGTATGGTACTGGCACAAAAACAGACACATAGATCA